AACTAGACACAAACCATAACACATGTTTTGCACAATTCTATTAATTTGACATTAATAAAATCACAGAACAATAAACATGAATAACAGATTAATAGATGCCAGGGTTTAAGAATGGTGCTAGGGTGGAATGGATGTATGAAAGGGTGGAATTTGAAAACACCCTTGTGGTGATGGAAATATTTGTATCTTGACCCTGTTAAGGTCAGTATTCTTGCTCAGGTATGGTACAAAGTTTGCAAGACGCTACCACTGCAAGAAAGTGACGAGAGAGTTATTGTCAATTGTGCTGCTGTAAACTTGGTTCTACATGTTTCTCTACAATATAATTATTTTAATTCTTTGGGGGAAGAAACCTACAGTGGGGCAAGTTGGGTCAAATGGAATTTCTATTTTAGTTTATTGAGAAATCACCTCACTGATTTCCATAATGGTAATACTAATGAGTTAGTATCCCTTCATTTTTCTTTGCAAAAAATATCTTATACTCTGAGTAACTACTTTGAGTATAAAAACAGAATATACTATGTCTGTTGTTCTCTTATTATTTTGTTATGAAATTTTGTTTTATTTTTTCATAAAATAGAAGAAAATAATTAAAAAAGAAACTGACTAAAGAGTATATAATATCTCCGTATTATTGAAAGTGTATATGAGTAAATCCATAATTATCTCAAAATATTAACTTTAATTTAAAGCACTGTTACTGATGTATAATTTATGTGTAGTGCAGTTTTCAAATCGGTGAGCTCAGTCAGCTTTTTATATATTTTATTTGTTTTCAGAATTTCATTTAGTTCAGCCAGTTTTGACTAACGCATGAACACATGTGACTCAGACCTCCATCCAGATCTTAATTCTATTGTTTCAGTTTCTTTTTATGTTTGTTAATCAATTCTCTTCTGAAAGAATAACTACTTAAAAATGTTGTTACCATACATTAGCTTTGCTAAAATCTTTGCACATATTTATACCAGAATTTCTTTATTCAGTGGAATCTTTTGAGATTCATCTGCACTTTTGTGCATCATGTCTATTTTATTCATTCTCAATGTTAGATAGTGTTCCAGCATGTGAATGTAGCATAGTTCTGTCATGGTTTTCTTCTTGACGACCATCTAGAGTATGGGCTTATAGTGGACATTTTTATCTCTCTTAGGTAAGTATTTTGGGTGGTTTCTGGATTGTAAGGTAAATGCGTATTTAATATTTGAAGAACTGGCAGTTTTTCAAAAATAATTGAACAATATAGGAGAGCTCTGGTTGCTCCATATCCTTGCCAATTTGGTGTAGTCGTTCTTTCTCCTGACTTACTCTAAAGGGTGTGACCTAGCATGTCTTTGTGTTTTTAATTCACAGTACTCTCATGACTAATGGTGCTAGGCACCTTGTTATGTGCTTGTCATTTGTGCATGGTCTTTAGAGGAGTAATGGTACAAAAATTTGCCTAGTTTTCATCTTTAACTTGTTAACTTACAATTCTTTATACATTCTGTATGTAAATTCATTTTAAAATTTGCACTGTAACCATCTTCTCCTAGCCTGTGGATTGTTTATTTCTATTGATTATTTTATAGGTTATTTTAACAAGGCCAACCCTGTCATACTTTGTGTTTTGAGTAGTAGGTACCTCGTGACCTCCTGAGAAAAATGTTTTTTCAAGTGTATAGGCTAAATTAATGAGGTGCATCCACGGCTTGAAACATTCATCTCTCTATGACTTAGAAAGGCTCATTGTACTTGTACAACTACCTCATGAAAAATATAACAATGATATTGTTGTTTGAGCTTTTTACTTGGTTCAATGCCACACACACTTCTGTTATTTTTGTGTTTTAGATCTTTAAATCTCTGTTACAAGCTTGTCTGAACAAATAGAGAGCACTCTGCAGGTTTGTTTTAAAAATTCTTGGTTTGCACATGATATAATTTCTTTTAAAAGTTTTTTGTTGTTGTTGTTCATGGAAAAATAAGAGTTATAATGTCTCACTGAAAAGGTGTTTAAAAAAAAACATTTGGCATGAAATGGTGAAACTTCTTCAAAAAATAGAGTCAACTGTGGGGATCACATTCCAAGCTTCTTGAAATACCTGAGAGAGGGAACAGCAAAATGTGCTTGCTAGCATATCACTCTCATGTTGTTAATAAGTATTGCTGCATCCTTGGTCAAAGCAGAGAAAGGGCAATTGATAAATTCTTCTCCCATTTTTTCCTCTCGCTGGACATCTTGGAGATATATTTTATCAGGTTTCTAGGTGTTCCAAGCAATCGAGTGCCAGTGATCAACTTAATAACTAAGCATTGTAGTAGCTTTCCCTCCTTTTCTGTTTTACTTTTCTTTTTCTCCTTTGTTGATTCCCTTCTATCCCTTCCCAGATAAACTACATCCACTTGAGGCTTTGTCTTTGACATTGCCTTCAAAGAATTCGGCTTATGATCTTGGGGGTGGGGAAGAAGTGAATTGAGAGTGTAAATCTATGCATAGACAGTTATGTCAGTGGGCCTCCTCCCACTTGGGAGGAAAAATGAGAAGTATGAACTTCCTTCCTAAGAGGGGAAAATAATAGAAAAAGTAATATAGATCAAGGACATAAAACTATTTCCTCTAATGAGTCTAATTCTTAAGAAGTGTAACAGTTGAGAAATGCTAAGAATGAAAATTCATATTCCAGACAGAGATACTGCCTGGGAACTCGAGCCAGGGGCTTTCTCAGTTGTCCCAGTGTTATCAGTTTTGTGATATCTCCACCCATTTTTATGAACAAGCCAGAGACAGATTTGAAGGCGAAAGGAGGTGGTGCCTCATCCTGTGTGCCACATGTGGATCCCAGGAAACCCATAGAGACTGCTCCTTCTTAGATCCAGCAGCAAGAAATGTGAGTGGGAAGAAGGTTCATCTTCTGCTTTACCCATGGACTACACATATGAAAATTCAAGCGACATCCTCTCGTGCAGCAGCACCTTATAGCCCCAGGAACATTCCTGCAGAGAGAGACACCAGCCTGTAGGAGGATCCAGGCCCTTCTTGGATCAATTGGCCAAGAACGTACTTCTTAGAAGATCCAGCATCCTGTGGTAGCAGAAGTGGCTATTCCCGGTAGTGAATGTTTGTCAAAATCACCAAGAGCTGCAAAAACTCCAAGTAGCAGCTTCTGAGTAGTTTCTACCAAGCATACATTGGGTAGGAAGCAGCACTGCTCCACCAGGTGTGAGGGAAGGAAGAAGCACTTAGTCCAGTGAGACAAAGAAAAGGGCTGGTGCGGAGATTAAAAAGCCAAGTAAAGGAAGTCCCAGCCAGCATGAGTCCAGATCCCAGAAGCTGAGCATGTGTGTGGTCATGAGAATGCCTCTGCTCTTTCTCCCCAAATCTTCCTTCTCCTCTTCTTCCACCCAGAATTTTCCACCTTAATCTGCTTTTCACATGCCTCTTCTTTCTGCACTCATGTTTGTTATTATGAAACTAAAGTTTTCTCTAGAAAAAAGTAAAGAATTTCATGTTCTTTTCTTATGTAATCTCAAGAGATTTGAAAACAGATTCAGGAAGTAGATGATCAGCCCTTACGGTGAATATAAGTTTTCCACGCCACGGAGCACCCAGCTGAACATGACCCTCATCAGAAGAATCATGCTCTGAGCAGAAAGAAGCTTGGAGACAGGATCTCCTTTTAGTTCTCTGTGATGCTTGCATGTAATTATTTTTTATAAGAATCTTGGGCCCAGTAAATATTAGGACCATAATTTTAGATACAGCTTTCTGGTTTTCCTGTCTTGCAGTACAGTTTAATTTTGACTGATATAAGATATACAGCACCCTGAAGATGGAAAAAAAAAATCATGGCTACGAGGGACTGTCTCTGATCACTGAACACAGTGCCATCTGCCTTTAGGGTTTAAGCCTCACTCACTGCGGTATCATCCTGAGAAGCTGGGGTATGTGTAGCAGGGAGAAGACTGACCTTTGGGAAGCAGGGCTTTTCCATAATGAGCCAGGAGAGTAGGGCATGACTAAACCTGGAGGGGACAAGATTTCAGGACGCATTTGCAGAATAGTTCCAAAGCCCCATACATGGTTTTCTCTTGAGAACAAGTAGGTTTCTGCTAGGATGGCCTGGACCTGATGGCCTGGCTAGCCTGAGGAATGGGTGACTCTGTGCCACTGTTTTCTCTTGCATGCTGGCCCACCCTTACACCTTAGGGTGTTTTACTTTTCATACTTGTATTTGACCCAAAGTCATTCTGTTTCTTTTCCTATCCTCACTAAAGTGTTGGTAACATTTACATTTGTCTTGATCAATTCGGCTCGGGACAAAAAGGACCTAGAAGCCACTTCCTGAAGGAGATTCCAGTACCACGAAGCCTAGTAAGAATAATAGTTTAGGCTATTGCACACCCTAAATATTTTCTGTCTCCAGGTTTAATCGTTTCTTCTAATCTAGTTTTTCTCACTTTGAATATTGAATGTCTCAGGCGTAACACTCACTGTACATAGTGGTGATTTGTTGCTTCTACCAAGCTTTTAAATTGAAACCACAGAATAAGTGCTGCTTGAGCGCACTTGTGTTATTTTTATGGGACAAGATTTACAGGCCAGCAGACGGATGAGGCTCTACATAAAAACCATGCACAAGGGCTCCACAGATCTTGGGATAAATATGCCTCAGGCTGGGAAGCATTTGTCACCACTGAAATCTTTCTTGTTGAGTAGCTTTGTGTCATTGGCAATCCCTGGAATTCTAAACATGGCAATGTCAACAGGATCTGATAATGGTGCTCCAAAGACAGCTTGTCTTTCTTGAATAAAGGCTAAGCTTGCTCATGTTTCCACAGTAGTAGGTGGAGGAGGTTAAGAATTAGGTGCTTCTCCAAAAACTGCTGACCAACCTGAGATTCTCTCAAACTCTCAAGGCCTTTAGAAGGACTTCCTCTTTAGGCAGGACTTCCCACTTGGCAGGTCAGGAGCTGAATCACTAACAACACAGATGGAAAAAGGAGGGGCAAAAAGTGAAGGGTTGTATTTCCTCTGAGGGACATAGCTCCAGTCTTACCTGACAACCTGTCCACATCACCACCAGGAAACAGCAAAGGTAAAGAAAAATATTTCTATACTTTATATTATTTGAATTTGTGGTCTAAAGGGAACAACTAAGAGTAAAAATGTGGCTTTTGATAGGTGTGGTATGAACTAGAGGAGAGGGAAGTTTGCTATTTAATGAATGTGCCTTTTTCTGACCTGTGGATGAATCCATTAACCCGTCAAAAGCCATTAACAACATGTGTTTCATAGTCTTTGAGGTGGGTTCACTTGATCTCAGCTATCTGATTTGTGTAGTAGAGTGGAATGCAGTTGTTATTTTCTACTTGCCAATAATCCTGATTCGAAACAGAGCTAGTCACACCAGGCTGTGTTCTCTGTATTGATGAAGTACTTAGCTTCTGAGAGGATCTCATTTCAATTAAACTGGCCTTATTAATAGGTTTGCTTTGGGAATTATTTATTAGTTTATCTTTTTTTCCTATGGGGTGATAAAATTATTCTCTTGACTAATATATATTTTTGTGTACATAGATAGAAAGTGTCTGTCAGGGTTTATACTTGTGTGATGAGGTGAATATTCTGAAATTTTTACTATTTCTAGCTCTATCCCAGCTGTTTCAGCTTGTAAAAAGCTGATATCTTAACACCCTTGGAAGCATGTCTCCCCTAGAAGAATGTACCTGGACCCTCTGTCCCCTTTGAGTCCTTTCCTATCACTATTTCCTTCCAAGATACATTCCCCTCTTATGTCCCCCCCCCCCGAAAGACCTCCTTTTCCTACCTTAGGAAGGCTTAAGCTTGGGTATCTTTCTTTTATTTTTCCTCTCATAGATATCTGCAGATGACAAATTTCTTTTGCTTGGTAGAGATTTTTCTCTCCCTAAAAAGTAGACAGGACTACTTGAGAATTTCTTTCGCATCTCTTTACTCTTTGGATTAAATTTGGAACTCGTTTATTTCTAAAGTGTGTCCAGCTCTTCCTCACCACCTGACTGTGTGGGGCCTTCTTGGGAGGTCTGTGTATCCTTGATAAGATTCTGTGTACACTGAGAATTCTGTCTTTTCTGGGCTTTCCTTCTCTTCCCTGAAATAGACTAAGCAGTGTGAATTTCTCTAGAAGTTGTAAACAGTTGAACTGTTTACTTTGCCAATATGAATTGGTTCTTGCATTAATGTGGAAAACACTGACAACTTCAGAGGCTCATTTTCTCTGCCTTAGATGAGTGTACAATCCAGTGAGGAAGACATTTCATGCAATGAACTCCACTCTGGACATTTATCTACACATGCCTTTGTGCCTGCAAACACAATTGCCCAGAGGTAGATGGAAAGTTTTACGAAAGTTACTGCATAAAATTGGTTGAGCATAAGATTAACCTTGGTGCTATGTTGTGAAAGGACTTTACTAATACTCAAAAAAGTAAATTCTGGAAAACAAAAAGAGATAGTTGTCATCTTCAGTCTTCATTTATGATCATTAAAACTCCATCTTGGCTGGCTTAGTAGCTCAGTGGACTAAAGCACCTGCTTAGGCAGAGCTCAGTGGCCCAGGTTCGATCCCTGGTGTGCTGTGCTGGGCCTGCCTGTGGGGTGTGCTGGGACAGCAATTGAGACTGAGCATGGTGGTGCATGCCTGTAATCCCAGCTCTTGGGAGGCTGAAAACAGGAGAATCACTATGAGTCCGATCTATGTAGTGAGACTCTGTAGACCCTGTTGTAAATACAGAAAAAATCCAACAACAATAACAACCCCCTCCAAAAAAAACTCCATCTTGCCAATAAACCTAACAAATATTAAAGTCCTTGAGTCTTGAGTCAAGTCTATTTATATATTTTCAATAAAATTTTGGAAAAACCTGAAGTTAAAGTATTCAGTTTTGGGCCAGGGATATGGCTCAGCGACATAGTGCGCCTGCCTGGCAAGTGCAAGGTTGTAAGTTCAATTCCTGGGAGAAAAAGAGAGAGAGAGGGACAGAAAGAGAGAGAGAGAGAGAGAGAGAGAGAGAGAGAGAGAGAGAGAGAGAGAGAAGAGAAACAGAGGAAACATTTAGCTTTTATACTATAAAGTGAATTCCTAAAGAGCTTTAGGCAGTAACTGTGAAGTGTGACTAAGTTATACTTTTTAACTGAAAACTATTACAATATGACTGCTAATGTTCTATACTTTGGACAAAACTTTTTAATGCTTCAAGTAAATCACTACCCTTATAAATAGTGATGACAAGGACAGTGCAATAAAATGAAATCATTCAATCTCAAATAAAAGCTGAATATCACATGGAGGCAAGTGCGAGGAGCTCGGAGTTGGAAGAAATGAACTCCTGTTCCAGTCCTGACCCCCTTTCACCTACACTGTGTGAACTCCAGAGGCCTTGCTGCTTCCTCTGCAGAGCTGCAGGAGCAGGGCTCATCATGCAAGGGATCAGACTAGGAATTGTCCCCATGCAGTGCTTGGGATACATGGGAATGCTGGGGTTCAGTCACCTCCCTTACACAGAAGTTCCTGTACAGCCACGCAGTAGATATGGACGAGCGCGTTCATCCCAGCACTGTTTGCGATGTTGCAAACCAGGCGGTCACTTGGGCATCTGCTTCTAGGGGATGGATAGGCAAATATAGTGGAAGCATGGCAATGTGTGTTTCCATAGGAACATGAATGGATCTTCAAAGTACCACACTTTGAAAAATAAGATTTTTTTTTTTTTTTTTTTTTTTGCGGAACCAAGGATTGAACTCAGGGCCTTGGGCTTGCCAGGGAAGCACTTAATCCACTGAGCCATCTCCCCAGCCCCTAAAAAAGTAAGATTTAATAGAAGTGCTTTTATGAAAATTAAAAATATTTAACAAAATTAATATTTAACATAAACACATATGAAAGGATACCCATTAAATAAATTTGAAAAAGCTGTTATGTTTGGAAGTGGAAGGAGAATAAATTAGGTCCATGATGGTAGGTAAAGAAGAGAATGACTTTTGTAGGCCACATTCCTCAAGGAGTGTGGCTACTTCAACTTCCTATAGTTATGGTTCTCAAAGAAGAAAGAGCTTAATAAATATGTTGCACAAAGTGTTCTGGCAGTGTAGTCCAAACTTTTTCTTAGCTACTTCATAATTATATGACTTCAGCAACTATGAGAGAGGTAAATTTTATAGTAATGATGTGATGAAATTTCAGAAAGAGATACTAGTATTTACTTAGGACTCTAAATCTGAAAGTATACTTCAGAAATTGACCTTGCTACTTAACTTTATTTTTCTTTCTTTCTTTCTTTCTTTCTTTCTTTCTTTCTTTCTTTCTTTCTTTCTCTCTCTCTCTCTCTCTCTCTCTCTCTCTCTCTCTCTCTCTTTCTTTCTTTCTTTCTTTCTCTTTCTTTTTGCAGTATTAGGGATTGAACTTAGGACTTTGCTTTTGCCAGGCAAGTGCTTATTCTACTGAGTTATCTCCCTGGCCCACTACCTAACTTTAACATTAAAAAAATATTTTATTTATTTATATTTTGGTAGAGGGTCTTGCTATGTAGGTTGGACTCATAGTGATCATTCTGTCTCAGCCTCCCCAGCACTGGAATTACAGGTGTGTTCCACCATGCTAGGTTTTGGTGGCTGGCGAGGCATACAGTACTGGGGATTGAACCCTGGTCCTTGTGCTTGCCAAGCAGGTTCTTAGACCACTGAGTTAGCTCCCCAGCCCTCTACTAGCTAACTTTATACACTACAATGCAGAATAAAGTACGAAGAAAATCTGGCTTAGATATGTTTCATAACTAGGTGAAATTTCATTATTAGATCATGTAATAAAGGATCTGTTATCAGTACGCATGTCATAGAGAAATTCATTAAAATTAACTTGAAAGACAACATCTTAGTTGAAGACAGAAGATTATATTTCAGGCTAAAAAAAGTTTAGTAAAACCCCCTTTTGTATCTTAAAGCAATGAAGAGCAAAGAATAGTATAATCCAGTCTTGTTTTCATATAACTGCTGAGTAGTTTAACAAATGGAATGAACAACTGGAATGTTAGTGAAAATTTTAGGGCAACCAATTTGATTACAAGAAAGTGTTAGCACCATTTTTAACCCAGATAAATGCCACGAGTGGCATATCTCCTTTTGGCCCTTCTCTGATTGAGTGTGGACAAGCCACGTGCTGTCTCCTTGCCCAGCTCTGAGGGCTGCGCTACTTGGCTCTGTCTGACCATCAGAGCACACAGCCTTGCAGTTCTGCGAGCAGCATGCCACTAATGCCTGCTCCTATGACAAGCAGAGTCACACCCTCAGGAACACACCTCCACTTAGATAGGCACAGGCTGAAGACAAGCGGATAACCAAAAGAAGTATACAAGAACGGGTACCAGACAACTGTCACGGTGTTGTAGGGAATAGAGGCCTCAGCAAGGGCGACAAAAGAGGGCACAGCTGTAATCTAAAAAATCAGAAGTAAAAGAATGAAATATTTTCAGATCCCTGAAGAATAAATAACAGAAAATATGTAGCTTCTCTAGCAAAACATGAAATATAGAACTAGTGGGCTAACCAGCCTTTGTGTACAATGATATGTAAGTTCCTAAAGTTAGTTAGGATGCATTTAGCTGTAGAAAGATAAATCACAACTGAGTTAGCTTATTTCAAATAAGGAAAAACTTCCATCTAATATAATAAGAAATTCCAAGGTAGGGTAGGTCCAGGTTCTTAATCCATGTGTCATCAAGGACTCAGCTTTTCCCTGTCTTTTCTCCCTGACATCCTCCTCATTACTCTTTGGCTGGCAACTTCATGGTCATAAAATAGTGCTGCAATAGGGCTTACACATAGATGACACAGCTCGGACAGGAAGAAGAAGAAGGCTGATTTTCTCCCGTGGGCCTCTTCTAATTAGCAGGAAGTCTTTTGCGGGAGCCCACCATCAATTTTTCTTGTTGCCTAACTGGTGAGGATTATGACATCTTCTAAGTCCTAATCCATTCAATGACATGGCAAAAAGAATGATCTAAATTGGTTGAGGCCAGAAACAAGGCTTACTTCAGGGGACTGGAGGGGGTTAGAGATTCCTTTGAACTATACAGTGATGAAATCTCCATCAAAACATATTCACTGAGCCTGGAAAAAAATGGAAGGAAAGAGATGAGTGGCATACAATCAAGACTTTTTTTTTTAAATGCTCTCTGGAGAGAATTTGAAGGCACCTAAAAAGAGGAAAAGACATGTTCAAAAATTGAATATGGAAGAGAGCCTTCATTTAATTGTTGTATCTTATACAACAATCTGGGAGTTGGAGGGAGAGAAATCATTGAAAAGCAAATCATACAAAATCAGTTTTGATGTTTATGGATAAGGAAGAGGGGAAAGACAGGGGAAGAGGAAGAGATGGATAATGGGGAAAAGAGAGAGAGAGAGGAGAGAGAGAGAGAGAGAAAGATCAAGAGAGGCAGAGAAAGAAGGAGAGAAATGAGGGGAAGAAAAGAGAAAGAGGAAGGAGAGAGAAGAGAGAGAAAACAGACAGAGAAGATACAAACTTGGGGATGCAACTCTGCTCTATCAGGAGCTGTCTAGTGTTGGCTTTCTCCTCCATGGGGTGTGCAAAGCTGCCTTTCTGCAGTCTGATTGACCAATGCTTTGGCTTCCTATTTCATATTTTTTTTTGGATGTTTAAATCTCTGCTCATGCTAACCCTTTTGTCAGGAATGCTTTTACTATATGTATATGCCTGGATGACTCTTGCTTTATAAAATACAGCAGGGACTTTGCCTTCTTCAGGAAGCCTACATGTACCCTCAACTTATCTCATATCACTCTCCTGTGTTTTTATATTATTTTTCATACACTTGCATATCATTTTACCTATCAGAGCAAAATATCTTCCTTCATTTCTATCATAGATGCTTATTAATCAGCTACTTTATGGCCAGGGCTGGTCTAAGTGCTAGAATAATAGATAAAAACAAAACAAAGTCTTTATTTGCAGACAGTATTCTAGAAGGAGGAGAATATATCAGAAAATATATTCATATACAGTAAAACAGGCAATGATCTATGCTAAGAAGAAAAATAAAATAATGAGAGGGAGGGACGTGGGCTGATGTTTTTGAAGGAAAAGGCCCAGGAGCCTTACAAGAGATGGTATCTGAAGAAAGAAATGATTGAACTGCTGGAGGGAGCCAGTTGAATACCTTTGGAAAGAGCATCCTGGAAGGAGGATACAAGTAGAAAATGACCCGAGATGGACATGCTGACGTGTTGAAGAAATGGAAGGAGTGGCATCCACAAAGAGCACAAGCTACTGGGAGACTGGGAGGAGATGAGGTCTAAGAGAGAGCTGGGACCAGACTGGGAAATGGTAGTTTCTTCATCTCTGAGAGACAGAAAGAACTGGAGTCTCTAGTAGAGGAAAGTATGACAATTCCGCTTTAAAAAAAATCACCATGGGCTGGTGAGATAGCTCAGCAGACTAAAGCACCTATTTAGGCAAGCTTAGGAACCACAGATAGCTTGTGGTTCTCTCTCCAGCACCACAAGCACCAGAGCCTCCCCCAGGGCAAGCTGAGCTGGCCATGGAGTCCAAGCATAGTGGCACAGGCCTGTAATCCCAGCACTGGAGTGGCTGAAAACAGGAGGATAACTATGAGTCCAAGATGCATAGTGAGACCCTGCACAACCAAATGCATTTAAAAAAAATCACTATGTTTCTGAGTAAAAGACTGAAGTTGGCAGAGAGTGTGCAGACTGTCATGAAGTTCCAGGAGAAAAGGGATGGTACCTTTGGCAAAGTGGAATAGCAGAAATGCTGAGAAAGGTGAGCACAGTGAATTTTTTTCAAACTAGAGAAAACAGAATGTTTTCATAGATTATATGTGAATGACAATGAGAAAGTAGTTAAGTATGGTTGTACATTTTTAGCTTGAAAACATGAAAAGCTGAAGTTATCATCCGTGGAGGTGAAGAATTTGCTGGAGGTAGAGAAGGGAATAGGGAAAATAAGAGTTTATTATTTGACATGTTAAGTTTGAGATATCTACTAGACATCTGTGGAGATGTCAGTAGGCAGTTGATGTATAGGCGTGGCATTCAGGGTCTTCTACTGTAAATGCAGGAGTAAACAGCTTCCTAGGGACACTTAAGACATAATGTTGGATGAGATCACAAGATATGTGAAATAAAATTAATGACAGGCTGAAGATTTCAATTCTGAGGTATAATGATGCAAAGAGACTGAAAATGGAGAAAGATCCGGCACAAGAGAGTAAGATAGTGTTACCACAGAGATCTGTGTGAGCTGAAAGAGAATGCTCATGCGGTAGCCAAAATGAGAAAATGCTTAATGGCAGTGAGCTTTTTAAGAATGAAGTCTCAGGCTGGAAAGATAGCTCAGGAGACTAAGTGTCTGCTTAGGCAATCGCAGGACCTGGGATTCAATCTCCAGTACCACATGCCATGCTGTCCCACACCCAGGAGGGTGTTAGCCAGCGACTGAGTCTGGGCGTAGTGATGCAAACCTGTAATTCCAGCACTGGGGAGACTGAAAACAGGAGGATCACTATGAATCTGAGCTGCATAGTAAGACCCTGTACCAAATATATCAACTGAAAGAAAAAAGAATGAAATCTTCCCAGTACAGAACTCTTTGTGTTCATTTTTGTATCTATAACACTCTGCAATTAGAGGTGCTCAGTAAATACTGTAGGACAATTAGAATAAACACTTCCTTCTCTGCATGCTCTTCTCCTAATATAAAATGAATTCCAGCATAATGATTTTTTTCTCTGAGATTCTTCTCCTCCATTCCTCAATTTTCACTGACATATAGTGCAAATGTGGGTTGAGGGCTCTGATTACCACCCAATGTTATGACTATTGGGGTTCATATCCAGAATATCCCCTCAAATTCTCATATACCTAAAGGCTGAGCTTTGGGAAGGCTATTGGCTCTTGAAGGCATTATAATTACCCATGGATTCATCCAATGGGGAGTTCGGCCACCTCATATAAGGTTAAGAGGTGGGGCCAGGTCAGAAAAGACAGGTCACATGGGACATGGCCTGGAAGCATCTACTTCTCTTCCCAGCTTCCCTTTCTATCTCTACTTCCTGGCTGCCATGATGTGAGCAGCTTTCTTGTGAGGTTGGCCCTTCCACTATGCCCTTGCTGTGCTGGGGCCTGCTAATCATTCTGAAACTGAGATCCCAGATAAGACTTCCCTCTTTTCATTTATGGATGCTAGGCATTGTATTTTAGTAACAAAGGGACTAAGAAAGTGACCATCTTTCTAGCACTGTCTTACTTTCTCACAGAAGAATAGGAAATGAAGACTCATTAAGAAGATAAAATTGTACAGAGAATTTTGCCCAAGTTTATCTCACTGTGAATTTGTTTGTAGAAGAGTGGCCATGGTGAAAGTGTACTCTTTCTGGGAGACTGGAAGATGGCCAGTCTAGTGGCAACCTATCATGTTTGTCTCAGATTGTGTAGCTTAAGAATGTTTCTGCACAAATTCCAAAATGAGAAATGTCTTAAAGCATGGAAATTAAGTGCACAAATATTCAACTACTTTAGCTTTTTTTTGCTTCCAAAGAATAACACATAATTCTTTAATATACACAAGTGTCAGCAAAATAGCTTTGAACTATTGGTTGAAGAAATAGAATATGTTCTATTCATTAGAATTGAAAACAGTGGTGGATTTTTCCTTCTCAAATTTGGTAATTTCTTAGAAACTATAAACAGGGTACGTGATTGTTCATGAAGCAGTGTGCTTAGACATTTACATTTGTGAAATGTAATAACTGAACTCCTTATTATCAGGAGATGTTCTAAGATTTATTTTCTCTTTCTGTTCTTAAGCAGTGAAATTGGCATAAAAATGCAATCCCTCAGCACAGCAAATGTTGAATTTTGCCTTGATGTCTTCAAGCAGCTGAACAGTAATAATGCAGGAGATAACATCTTCTTTTCTCCATTGAGTATGTTTTATGCTCTAAGTTTGATCCTCCTTGGTTCCAGGGGAACCACTGAAAGGCAAATAGGAAAGGTAAGGAGTATAAGAGAGACTACTGTAGAGCCCATATATCTTACCCATGTCTCCTCTGATCTGAATTACTAAATTGCTGCCAAATCCTCTGATCTACATTGCTGCCATCTTCATAAACGAAAACTATTATCAAGTAAAAGAAAAACATATTTATGCAAATGACATTTTTAAAAGAGAAATACTTTAAATAAAATATCAAATTCTAATTCAAAAAATGCAACATACGTAATGCAGTTTCTTTCTATCAGGAGTACTATCAGAAATAAATCTCAATATTTTGCTGAGTTTACACACCTATAATATTCAATAACGGAACTTAGAACAAATGAGGTATACCGATGAATGTCCATTTTGTATCTGTGTATTCAAAGTGGTTGGGATAGATATATAGTTGCATTCTCTTAATGAATAGAATGATTTGTTCTAATGGTGTTTGTAAATAGGATCACAAGTCCACATCTTGTACAGCAATTAACCACTAAGAAGAATATATGCAGTGTATTATTTGTTGAAACTGTACTTTCGATTTGATTTGAAACTGTCTCATTGCTATCTGTTTATCAATAAAACTTTAAAAAAATAAATAAATCTCTGCATAAAATGTGTAGAGATCTTCCTTAAGTTATTTAAGCAAACTGGAGATCATGTGTATAGTACAGTTCTTGTCCTCTAGAGGTTTAAACTTAATAATGAAATTTACTGATGTTTTAGAAATTATCAAATTGCAAAAAAAAATCATTATTATATTTCTTCATGACAACTCCAGGCAGCAGGGAGAGACTATGATTTTCATTTTCAGGTTAGATAGACTAACTTTGGTCATGATAATTCCTATATGATATGAATGTTGCTCTACAGTATCTAGAAGATATTCTATACTCACTAATTCTTCAAATACTTGGTTTATTATTTGCATTGTGACAATGTATCATGGTTTACCTGGATCCAAGATGGGCACTGTTCCAGTAAGTAGCTTAGGGAGTGTAGCAAGGGAGCAGAAGGTCCGAGTGGTGAGTGAACTCAGCCGCTGGAGCCTGACAGTGGTCTGGGCAAGGTACTTCATCATTTATAACTCGATTTTCCTAAAATAAAATGAAACAGTATCTATTCATATAGTTGTTGGGGAGATTAATTAAGGTATATAAAGATTAATTTATGACTTGCCATGTGACATTATTAACTCTCCTTCATTTTGAACTGAAATGTAAAATGTAAAAAATTACAATTCTCAACTTTATGGAATCTAAATTATTTTTATGCCAATCCATCTCTTTTTCTTTTTCTAGGTGCTTCACTATCAGCATACTACAGAATCTTTAAAACTAGAGTTTAAGGATTCCTCTGAGGTATTATAATATTATGGCTGAATGTCAAATGCTTTTTAACATAAGAGCACCAAGAAACTATTGTCTTGGGATAGAGTAACAAAGATCCTCCTTTGTCCCATAAAGAAGGTGCCTCTGTCTCCATTAATCTTATTGTTGATCAATAGAACTTATAGAGCTCAACACAATGATGATGAGAATAGCAACAACAACATCCCTCAGATGTGGTTAACTGACTTATTGCTATCCTTACTCATATTTTTCTGTTCTGTGTCTCTTGTTGAGTCTGACAACCTTCTCTATGTACTGTTAGAGGTTTCCAGTCTATGGAGGGGACTGAGATAGGACTATGAATGACAGTTATGTGGTATCCCTGATGCTCCTCATCTCACACACTCTGTGACAGTGCTATCCACTTTTTTTCAGGAAGAACATTTATTTTGACATGAAAGTTGCTTCACAAAACCCTAATTATTATTAGATTAAATTTGATAGTTTGAAAATCACTGCTTTAGAGACTATAAACATAGTCTCTATGATGTCCATGGATTCTTAATTACCTGTAAAATCTATTAGGACTAAATAGGTAGTTTAATTATTGCCACTAAGGGACAAATGAATATATCAATCTTGTTCATAGAACAGCTGGACTATTTGATTAAGTAGACATATAGAAAACTAAGACATCCAAAAGAATATGCTAGAAAAGAGAAATTATCTTACAAGGTGAAAGGTACAGAAAAACTTAGATTATTCCCCTAGATACTCCACTAGCATCTCTTTGTTCAAGTGAAAATGTTATATTTTGAATTAAACTATTAGAACCAACAAGTACATATGATTCTACCCACAGTCTACAAACCACATTCCCAGTGGTGAAATTATTGTAGTAAAAATTAAGTATTCCTGTATCCATTACCACTTTAAACAAAGGTATACATCTTGCTCTCTAGATATTGTATTCACATTATTTATGACTTAACAGTGGCATGAATTCATGTCATTTGACATATCATTCTGTGTTTAATGGTGTCAGTGCAGCCAAGCTGGAAGAATACATTCAGAATTTGGAGCCCTTCTCTCTCAAGTCAACCAACCAGGTTCTAACTACACCCTCAGCATTGCCAACAGACTCTATGGGGCAAAGACGATAGAATTCTATCAGGTAAGCACAACTGGCACCCCGGAGTTTCACACTAACAAATCAGTGAAGATTGAGCAGTGTCTCAGGGCATTTGTGTCTAAGAGACTGATCTTGAATTAACTAAGCACTGAAGAGAACAGTTTTACCAGAAATTGTTACTATTACAAAATCCCTAAAAGTCAAAGATGAAGTACAAAACAAAATAGGTAAGAATTGTTTTTCATGGATGGGAAGAAACATATATTTTTCTATCTGTTAAAAGACTTAGTGACAAGCTATCAAGAGACAGTTTAAAGAACACTGAAAAAGGAGCTAAGAGATCTGTTTTATTCCCACTCAGGCATACAAATCTGGGCAGTAACCTCTATCTTTAAAATGAGAGGATTTGCCCAAACTTTTTCTTGCTTCAGAACTTTAACACTGCTCTTGCCCTTCCCTCAGAATATCTCAAGATATGGTTTTACTAAGTGCTCATTATGTACTTGTTATTTTACTTAACATAGTACAGGCATTATCTTACACAGTTATTACATTGCACTATGATAGAGGTACAAAATTTCAACTAATTCTGAAGACCGTGAAGCAAATTCTGCAAAGTCAAATGATAAGGCATAGAGATAATTAAATGACAACACCTAGACTTGGCCTCTAATTTTGTCTTCCTGTGTTTAATTGTTGGATCATCCTGTTGTTACTGAGGTGGAATACTAGTAGTACTGATGTAACTTTTGGTCAATATTGCTTAAATATCAGCTGAGACAAGTAAGATGGACTCTGGGGTTTTTCTTTTCCTTCCTCAACCCTGTAGGGCAGACTGTATCTTAGACATGAAAGATTTCTAGTAGACTTTGAACATCTTGGTGTACACAAACCACCCTGATGTTGTAGACATTTTGGGCACATTTTCTTCTACTACCCAGAAGCATATAGAAAACGTTTCATGGAGATTTCCTATAAAGTAGTGAGGATAAATGATCATGCTCCTTTAATTTTGAATTCCTTTTCTTACCTGTTTACCCTCCCCCAAACAGTGACACAGACATTGTAGTAGGTAAATATTAATTGAAAGTGATAATGCTTGCATCAGTTCCTGGAATGAGGAGCTCCTCATTACTATCTTGAAGATTGTGGTGAACTATGTTATGAGATTGCTGTTATCACAGCAGGATTCTGCCTGGAAAAACTACCATTTTGTAGGCTATCAGGAACCAAAAAAGAATTGTTCCAGCCACAGATGTACACAACCCAGGGCATCCTGGCTTTAGAGTATGGTCTCAAGGTATATTCATTTACCTAGAAATGATACTCTTTGGTAACCTGAATTAGACATACATGTTTAAATCCCACATTGTTTCTCTCATGTGAGAAATCAAAATGATCAATAAGGACCAAAATGTATAATAGACATTGGGAAATAAGAGGGACATTTTCAAATAGGGAGGGAGCAAGGGAAGTGGGAGAGGGAAAAGAAGAAATGGAAAAGAAAAAGTAGATGATAAAAGGGAAAAAATGGTAGCACTGCTTTTGTAATTAAGGAGGGAAAGAGATGTTGAAGGGAGGGGAGGGGATTAGGGAAAAAAGAATTGAGATATATTATGTACAGGTACAAATTCCCTATGTTGAATGTGATCATTGTATACATCTAAAATGCACCAATAAAATTAATTTTAGAAAATCATCCTCATGTAATTTTGCCACTAGTTAAACTTTGCTTGTCTTCAACATTGGATTAAGACACAAAAGATCCAAGTGAGGCCACTGAAAAGCTAGATCCCAGGCAGCCACTTGTACCCCTAATTTATGTCTAACTCTTGGATCAGATGTCCCCAAAGTCTCAGAAGTGAAACTATGGACAACTTCATTTGGGTCCCTGAAGACTTTGGTACTGCCTTGCAAGCAAGGAAGTAGAAAATTCCTCATTCTAGGAGTGAAGAGCCATGAGTTATGGTCCAAGGTGGCTCTAGGAGGCCATGCACAAGGGCTTGTGAGGTGGAATTTAAGAGACAGAGAGAGAGAGGTGGATTCTTTATGCTGAGTTAATATACTACTTTCATTTGGATAATATGCTATAGGTAAAAATAGTGAACATCTTAAAATATTCTTGTTGATACTGTATAAATTTTTTAGAAGTCAATTATCTACATCAGATATTATTAATATACTATTAATTTTATTCATGATGATTTATGAAGAAGTTGATACACATATATACTATCTGGTTATCAGTTTTGTTTATTATATGTGTGTTTTTCTTTTGCTTACAATGTGAGAGGAATTACTTCTGTTTCTTTGCTTTGAAGAGAAAGAATAAGAGCAGATTGAAAAGGTACTCGCCATACTGAAATTTGGCATTTCAGAACTAAAAAGGCCAGATATGACAGAAGTGACAACCAAACATATGTAAACACTGTTGGGCAGAATAGATTTGAAGTGTTGTCAAATTTATTTATTTTTCTTTAAAACAAATATGCGCATTTTTTCCTTTCAAACTTGAATACAAGAACTGCTTTTGTCTATGAGTTAAGATTTCAGAATACAGTAAACCGAAAGATTTTTGTCTTCTTTACAATATTTTTATATTGTTTGATCATGCTTTTTTTGTAGCAATATTTAAGCTGTTCTGAGAAAATTTACCAAGCCAGACTACAAGTTGTTGATTTTGAACAATCTACAGAAGAAACGAGAAAAACTATCAATGCTTGGGTTGGAAAGAAAACTAACGGTAAGTCCAAGGCAACTATGTCTACTCAGGCTTACTGTGTGCCGTTCTGACCAGCTCGCTGAGTCAGCGTGCTAACCAGGAAGCCAAGTAAAGTCCAGGACCTGACTGAGACGAATGGCAAAGTTACTGGGGCTGACTTGGAATGTCACTTAAAATCATTTGCCCTAATCTATGATCAGTGACTCCAAGAGTGGAAAATAAACACTATTTTTACTTTGTAGAAATGTTGTAAATTCTACCATTAAATTTGGTTGAAACCAAATCTACATTTTACAAGCGAAAAGACCCTATATATTGTTAAATGTTTCTTTTTTCAAATGGCACTGCAAATATTTGATACAAAGGTGTGTCCATTTCTTTATTTAAAAATATTTAGTTAAGGAGAAACTTAAGATGTGCACAGCAGAGAGACTATATCATGAGTTGTTTACCCAGGACTCAAATGCAGAGACACCGCCAGCCTGCCTTGCTGGTCACCGGTCAGCACTCACCTTGTCCCCACCACCTTGTCCGGGTTATTTTGAAGCAAATCCCAGCTATCGTCACTTTCATTATATACATATGTATAAATATGGGCCATTTTAATATAAATGCTAGAATAGTTACAAAATTGAAAGTGATCATTTAATATTAGAAATATTCAAAGAATGTTCCTATCTTCCCAGTTGCCTTTTGTGGTTTGAATTAGGATACAGACAACGTTTATACATTGTAGTTTGTCAGGTTGTCCCTTAAATCTTATTTTTTTTTCAAAATTAGTGTAGAAATACACATTAATATGGAAAAGTAAATTATTCTATTAAGCTAGTTGATAAATTATCATCACTGAAATTAGAAAAATAAAATATTTCCAACTCAGAAAGTGCACTGAGAGGCCACACCTCAGTCCCTCCTGGAAACTAATACCCTTCCCTTACAAGTGTAAATATTTTTCTTCAACTTCTCTTCCATGAGTATAGCATTTATCGCTATTCCTTTAGGTCTTCTAAAATTTTCTTTCACTCCCACTGATTGATTTTTGGTGATGGTGAGAACCGAACCCAAGACCTCTGCACTGATCTCTGCCCCTAGAGCTTTTCATTTTGAGACAGTCTTGCTCAATTTTCCAGGTGCACAAGCTAACTTCACCCTTGTGACCCTCTTGCACAAGCCTCCCCTAGTGCTGGGATGATAGGTGTGCACAGCCATGCTAAGCTCTTTTAAGAAGATCTTATATATTTCTCTGTGCTAAAGTTTTGTAACTTTTGATACTTTTTTTCTAGATATTTGAGGTGCTCCTTGAATTTTATCTAGTATCTATTATTATCTCATCTGCAATATCCCACTTTATAATATCATCAATATTTTTGCATCAATATTTTTTCTTGTTTTCAGCCTCCCCATTGCTGAGACTGCACGTGTGCGCCACCATGCCAGGACTTGGCTGCAGGCATAGTGAGCCTGTGGGTGGGTCCAACACAGCGTGTAGTGCCAGGGCTCAAATCCGCCTCCCTATGCTTGCCTAAGCAGGCACTTAGCCCACTGAGCTATCTTGCTGGCCCTTAAAGAATTTTCTAAATAAACAGTGACATAAAACAATGTACTGGATATAACTAGCTATGAGACAAATGATTCATTTCTAGTATACTAGCTCCTCCTTGAATGTTATCTTCTGAAGAAAAATAATGTAGCACATAATATCCATGGAAATAAAAGCCTTTGACAGGCTACCCTCTATGTTCAGGAGGTAAAGGTCTTCTCATGTCTCAATTTACTACTAGTTTTAAGAAGTGGATCTTAATTTCTTTGTTACTATTCAATTCTCTGTTATCATTAAAGTCAAAGCCTACAATTATCTTTTAAAATTTGTTTTGACTTGTTTTAATGTAGGAAAAATCACAAACCTCTTTGAAAAGGGCACTATTGACCCTTCCTCTGTCATGGTCCTGGTGAATGCCATATATTTCAAAGGCCAGTGGCAAAATAAATTTCAGGAAAGTGAGACAGTTAAATCCTGCTTCCAGCTAAGTGACGTAAGTATTTTATCTTCATATGGATGGCATGTTCAGGAGAAAGCAACAATCATTTAAGAATGATTTAGGAATATTTGGTGAAAATATTATTCTAAGTTGCTCTTAGTGTTTTCTATGAAGTTTTTTTTCCCTTATTAAGTGAAAGTAAGCAAGCTTTCTTACAGGACATACATCCAGAGCCTTTCCCTAACAGAGAAGAAATTTGTTGTTTTCCTAATATTCTATCTGTGCTTTTTTTCTATACATACTGTGCAAATTTTTCTAGCAGGATGTAAAATCACACTGTTTTTCTTCTGGGGTGTCTAATTGAAAATGATGCTGTGATTTTATCTTCCTATATGAATCATCATAAATATGAACTCTGGCTTTGTTTTTGGTAAAACCAGTGTGTGTATATATATATTTTTTTTTTCAAATAATTATCCAACTTTTAATTTTGTCTTATTTTAAAATGAAAAAAGATACTATGTACAGAGGAAAAGAATCAAAGGGTATATTTTATAATGCACATTTGTCTCATCCCTTTAAATGCAGATATTTCTGTTATACAAAAAAACCCTGTATATACATATTCACTCATGCATAAAACTGTGCTGCATAATTATAAGCTTTTTCTTTTAATAGGGTAAAACTGTAACTGTGGATATGATGCACCAAAGTGGAACATTTAAGTTGGCCTTCATAAAGAATCCACAGATGCAAGTTCTTGAGATGCCTTATGTTAATAACAAGCTGAGTATGATTATTTTGCTGCCAGAGCAGAATAATCTAGCAGAGGTAATATTACAAGAATGCCAGCAGGTGGCTAACACACACGTGTACACATGCACACTTTCTCTTACACACACACTTTCTGAGTTCTGTGATGCCTGTCCATCAGCTATTGATTTATGATATAGGAGCTATGAGAAGGGTCCTTGTCCTTCAGGACAATGTATGTAGGTAGGGAGACTCATTCTCACAATAAGATCAGTCCTTGGGCATTTGAGACACTTCTTTCCATAGTAAGGAATTTATAATTCTGTTTGATTCTTAGTCCATAGAAGCCTGATTAAGAAAACCAGTGACAATGTTCTGACCAAATTTCAACACACTTTCATGGACTTATTACTTTTTACATCATGGTTTGAGTAAGAAAAGGAACATCACAACCATGAAGAACAGGTCATAGTGGTGGTAGGAAGAGAGTCCAACCTTTCTTCCTGGCAACATCCAGAGCTGCTTTACATAGAGAGGCCTTGGAGCAACCAACCTCTCCCCTAACCTAGCCAGGGCCTCTCAATGCTTTCTAGAGTAACAAACCATTTCTTAGGACATCAGCAGAGTTCCTGTAAACCTATAGAAAATGACTTCACATATAAAAGGGCCACAGTGCTGGATTTCTTTTTCTTTTCTTTATTTTTTATTTATGTTTGAAGAGAGCACAGGGGCTGGGGAGATGGCTCAGTGGAATTAGCATTTCCCTGGCAAACACAAGGGCCTGAGTTCAATCCCCAGTTCTGCCAAAAAAAAAAAAAAAAAAAAAAGAACACAGCCTC